AGCTCAGAAAAGGACATCTTCACGGCAAACTCTGCCCCATGCAACATTTCATCAGCTGTGATCATAAGTATTAAGAAGTGCCTTTACTTTCACCTCTCCCTCTGTTATTGTTTCGGGTTTTTCAGCTATGGAAAGATCTTTTGCAATGCTTTGAAATCCGATTAGAAATTAGGAAAGGTCTGGGGGTTTGCTATTGTAGGGGGGTAAAACAACAAGGCTAGCTTCCCACATCCTCTCCCTCCATGTCCCTAACACATTCCACATCCATGTGGTAACGCCTTTTAACCAAAAACAGCAGGTCATGGTATGTCAGCACAGTTCCCTTGTTTGAAACACAATGTTGTTACTTTATATACCTATTGCTTCATGCATTGCCCACACACGCATGGCCTTATCAGAGGGCAAGCCCAGTTTCTATAGCCCCTGCATTCTCTGTATCCAAGGAGATAAAAAACACAAAACGGAAACAATGACATCACTCTGCAAGGACAAGGATGAGGACGAGACAAGCACTCTCAAGAAGCTTTGGGAAGGCAGTGGCTGTCTATTCCTGTCATCCCACAACTAGCCTGACTCACCTCCAGAGCTCCTCCAACTGCATGTCTGGAGGTTATTTCTCATGTAAAACAACAAACAAACAAACAAACAAAGTATCCTCATGTTTGAAAGCCCACATTTTCTGTGGTTAAGAAGAGCTCATCCATCCATGGTTTGAGACACCCAGAGTTTTGACTGACATTCCTGAGGGGTGACATTATTATCTGTGCCTCACTGCAAAGCGGGTACGCAGCCTTCAGGGAGCTGGACAATCTTTTTTGGAGAGAGTCCTGGTGTTGACCACCCTTGAAGCTGGTCTCTCTCTGCTCATTCCCTACATGAGCTCACTTAGCTCAGAGACCTAGCCTCCATTGACTTCAGTGTCCTACAAATATATAGTTTTGGTTGTTTGGTTTTCTTTTTTTCTTTTTCTTTTTTTTTTTTAAAAAAAAAGACAAATCTGAGAGATGAAGAGTTTCATTCCTCATTTTGCCAAGGAGCAACACAGCCACGCACACCAACACATTGGTCATGAGCTTAATGCCTGGTCCAGGGTCACCAGAGAGCACAGCAGAGTCTGAAAGTTGTGCTGGTCTCTGGTCAGCGTCATAAGCGTTAAAACTGTTAGTCACCAGGTAACTTGTTCTCTCTTGCTGTGATCACTTTTTTCAAGAAACATTAAGCAGAAGGGAGAGGCAGACATGCTATTTTAATCTTTCCCACTGCAGTAAGGAAAAGCTCTTGATGGGAAAATGACACTGAGCTATTGCCCTTAGGATGTGGGTGAGAAGTGCAAGTGAAATAATTGGGTAAATATACTGAGACTTCGTAATTTCCTTCCCCTTATGTTGCCATGGTTGCACCCAAAACAAAGCTGGCTCAGCCACTGAGCCATCACCACGAACACGCTGCTGCACCTTTTGATGAAACGCAATTTTGTCGTCACTCTTGCCTCAGATTAAATTAATTTAGAGGGAAAAGATAATGGTAATGAATTAATAATAGTAAGGCTGTAGCTCTTTCATGGGCAAAGGTCAGCTTAGAGAATGAAGTCAGTCTTGGGATTCAGGACTTCAGGGAATGCATGGGAGGTTGTGGAATGCCTCTTTATTTTCCAAATATCTTGAATGTGCATTCCAAGTAAGGGAAAAATGCTTCCACAGGATGATCCAGCATTTTGCAAATATCAGTCTCCAAAAGGATTACAGAAGTAAAAAAAGTCTATTTCAAGTGGGGTAAAAAAATGTGTAAGAAGTGATCTTAAAACGTGTAGCTAGTCATACAGTTGTTGAGACAAACAAAATTAATTTCTCTAACTAGATCTTTGCAAAAGATCTTGCAATTTAACTGCACCAATAAAATGGAAAGAGGCAAAGAAGGTGGACAAGTGCTGTGAAAAATTTCAGTTACAATACTGAAGGTGGGAGAGGCAACATCAAACTATCTAATTTTAAGAAAGGTGGAAACTTACTAGAAATTAGACTACAATTTCTCAACAGCAAATTTTTTTAAGCTTTTTTTTTGGAGCCCGAGATAAGTCTATTCACATTTATGATTATATTTCTGCATTCAAAGGGCTGTGCACAAAATCAGTGAGAAATCTTTGGAGGACCCTGGGTCAGGACTTAAATGAACAACTTGGACTCAGTATGTCCTGTTTTCTTTGGTAAATGAATTAATAAGCGTTCTGCACGAGACTGCTGCCAAGGAAAGCACATATATGGTTTTCACTGGTGAGTGCATTAAAAAAAAAATGGAACTGCTCAGGCAGCGCTGCCTTCGAAGACTGGGCTCTCTACTCACAACATCTACCAGTCCTGTTGGAAAAATGAGATCAGCATCTTTGTGGTAAAATCCATAGCAGTTTGCCATGCTAATATATATATACACACAGCATCTTCTGCACTCTGCAGCAGGCCTGGCTGAAATCTCTGGTGATGATGCAAAGACACAACCCCAGGGGGACATGGCCAGCGCTTGCCACGGCTCTGGCAGGAGCCAGCATGTTCCGCTGACCATGCTCCAAGCAGACAGACCTCACCACAAACCTCACTTGCTGCAGTCAGCTACTGAAAAAGAGAATGGGTGTGTACTGAAAAAAAAAAAAAAGCCTTAGAACTTGATGGTGTTCACGGCACTTTTCCTTGGCACAGCGGACTTGGACTCAGGCACTGTAAAGAAGGAAGGGTAAATGGGAGCTTGTGGTTTAGAAACATGAGGTACACATCTCCCTTGCAAAATTCCTCTGTCTGAATGTAGAGCAGGCAAAGGCCTTTAAAGGAAAGCCCCATGCTCTGAAAAACAGCAAGCACCACTCAGATAGCCCACTGCAAATGACTTAACTGGCTTCTTGTTAAGGAAGGGAAGAGGAAAGGCAAGACTTCTGCAAGAGCCTGAATGTTGCTTTTACACTAGGAAATAAAGTTCTTCCAGTATCAGCCATCAAAAGGGGTGAAACCCCTCTTTTTTCCAGACAACAGCTGGCTCATAGTGAAAGATTAAGATACTGCTCACAGATAAGGTTGGTAACTGGAATCTTTCTGCAGTCAGTTTCTCACCAGTACAGGTTGGTATCACCAAATACAGTTGCACCACACTTAGGAGCTGGCAGCATTGGGATATCTATATAAAGGGCAGAGTTAGAACCAGGACTAGGACTAAGGTTAGGATTTAGGAGGGAATATGCTCCATCACCAGGATCATTGCCAAATTCTGTAGAGTCAGACCCTTCACGATGCCCTTTACTTCAATTTTAGAAAGCAGGGCACGACTTTTAAGTTCAAGACTGTAATTGTTAGTCCCTCTCACCACATTTCTTATCGAGTTGCAGGAGGCTCCCTGAAACAGTCCAGGGCTGACTCACATACAAACACTACACCCAGAAGGCAGCAGACTAAAGGAAAGCCATTGATTAGGGTTAAAACTGCCGTAGCAAATGAGTTCAAGCAAGAGGTGGCATCAATTAGTCAAAATAGCTTATGTTTAGTACTTGACCAGCAGTGGATATCTATCCAGTCACCCAGGCTGGACTCATGGAGAAAGTGTGGTGGTGCTGCAGCTAGTGACAGAGGGGCTGCAGCAGCAGGTTTCTTGCTGCAGTTACCTAAGCTTAGTGAGCTTGTTAAAATCCTGCCTGGCATGTGTAGTGTCCTATGTTTAATTACAGGGCATTTTGCTAAATTCTGGTTAACGGCTGGGTTAAGGACTTGGTTTCCAGGATCTCGTCTGCTGTTGAATTAAAAAAATAGCCCTCTGCAGCCTTGCAGCAAAGTCTCAGTGCAGACTCTGCCTCACTCTTCTGGCAAGCAATAGGCCCCAACTCTCAAGGTTTGCAGCAGAACATCTTCAGAGCTTGGGCAACAGACCAGATCTCATCCCAACAGTGTCACAGGCTGGTGTAACTACATGGCCCCAGCCCAACCTAAATCCAAATGGCTCAGTCTCATGCTGAGCCTTGGCTGAGTTATTAAATAACCGGAGAAGCCTGCACCACACTCGCAAGCCAAGCAACACACAGCAGCTTGGCACAAGAGGGAACACGGACAGATCCCAGGCCAAGGTCTGGGCATGATGTTGCTGCACATGTGCTAGTTTAGGTTCAGGTCCTTTCCAACCCAAACAGACATATTAATGCTTAATTAATTGCAGAATCAAACTAATTTTCTCTCTCTTCATTTTGTTAGAAAGACGCATGTGGGATGTGTGCTAGGGCCAGAATCCATGTCACTGCCCTGGTAAAAATCCAGGAGAAATGCCATTGATTTTAGTGCAGTAATCATAGGTTATTGCAGTACAAGCCTCTAAATGTAGCACAGGCAATGCCCTTGCACAGGTCACTTATTACTACATTTACTTGACAGAAGCAGCAGACCGATGAAGCAAGGCTGCCGAAAGGTTACAAACCCAACCTCCTAGACAGAGACTGCAAGATCTGCCCCAGAGATTATAGTATACAAAGTGTTTCCACTTTCTTCACAGCTAGACTGCTAGTAAGAATCTGTTGGATGAAAAAAACAAAGGAACAAACAAATAAAACTCAAACACAGCAGAAAACACTAAGCGTGAATAATTTTCCTCTCCTCTCAGGATCTTTCTTACCTATGAAAATCAACATGCTAAGCAACAGCAGCAATGATTTACAGAGCCACACCTCTACAGTGCTTTCTGTGCCCTGTGGTAGGTGTGAGCACGCAGATGGCAGGAGACAACAACCCTGATCCAGCTTACCCTTAGCAAGGTATCTGATTTGCTGTCCAGAGCAGGAGGTTTCTGACCATGAGGCACACAGTATCTGAAGGCTTCCAAGGGCCATGTGATCTCTAGGAGGTGTGGGGCATGGCACCAGCCCCAATGCGACCAGAGTGACACGTGCTCAGCTCCTTGGAGGATCGGGCCAGAAACCGCTCCAAAGTTGGACAGGAGTGAGCGGGAGCAAGAGCGTGCAGATTAAGAGTATTGCTTACCTGTGGCTGAGAGGCCAGATTCATCTTATAAGGATGCGTCTTTCCCTCCTCATTTACCAGCGGTGACCAGACTTTTGCCTCTGTTCTGCAACACATAAATTTTGAATAGTTAATCTGTTTTCATTACTGAGCATCATCGTTACTAAAAGACTTGAAGTTCACCCATTTCCCAAACATCTCCCCCGTCGTTTGCATAGAGCACCATCCAGATCAGGAGGAATGTAGACAGCCTCATTTTAGGCATGTAACTTGGAGGATAGTTATGTTTTATGAGGTCCTTGGACAAAGACAGGATCTCGGCTTATCCTTTGCGACTCCACTGGCAACACATCAAGCATGGGCTTGAACCTAGGCAGTAGAGTTGAGGGTCACCCGACAGCAGAAGCTAGGAACATCCCTCAGATGCAGAACCTCTAATTAAGTGGGGCAATTCAGATTACTTTGTTTCAGCTTTTACAGGTAGCTGCAAAGAGGAACAATTCTTGTCTGTATTGACTATACAGAGAGTATTTTGTTCTGGAAGTTGGGCTGCTTTGGATAAACTAACAATATTTTTTAGTTTGGCCCTTTGGAATTTTCTTCTTATTTATACAGTGGTATCCATGCTGAACAAACAAAGGCTTTGGGGAATTATAGGGAGGAAAAAAAAGGGTCCAAGACTGCCATAGGACTAAGAACTGAGATGACATAATGTGTGAGAGAAAGCGTACAATAACCTTAACTGGTCTGTGGTCTGACCTAATTACAGCAGCCTGAAACACAAGTCAAGATCTGTAACCAAAACCAACTGCTTTTACCATCATCATTCTGGAGTTTCGCTATGTCCCAAAGAACAACAGACAAACAAGTGGTGAGGAAGAAGCAGAGTGCTTAGATTTGCTGGAGATATTTTGTGAGCAACATGCGCTACCTACATTTCTCAGAAGTACAGGCAGTAGTTAGCATTTCAGATGGACAAAACAGTGCCACTTTTTCCAAACATTTAAATCGCAGGGAATGAGTGGCTGCAGTATTGCTGAATGAAAACCATTTTCAATGTTAAACACTACATCATGCGGCAACCAGATGGCTGATAAACTTTTAGGATGAGTTCTGAAAACCATGTCCTGTTTTGACAGAAGCCCTTTGTAAAATCTGCCACTGCAGATAGATGTACTTCCCAGATTTTTGTGGGTTCAAGGCCTGCTATAGTTTAAGTACTTAGTTAGCAAAACAGGAATGCTTCCGCTGAGAATTAACTGTATAAGTGGAAAGAGACTAGACAGAAAAGGCTTATAAAACTGACAAAGATGGAGAAATATAGTGCAGACATACCCAAGATAAATTCAATTCGGTCCACGCCATCCCTCTAAAAGCCAACTAATGTCAGGGCATTTTTAAACAGCCCAAACCCAACTGTGACGACATGGATATCTCAGATATTTGCTGTATAAAGAGTATTTTAATACTTATATCCAGTGAGAGGAGACAGGAGGCAGCACTCTCACTAAGGGAAGAGGAGAAAATTTATTGACCTCTTACTGTGTATCTATCGTACTCTGGACTCTATGCAGAAGAAACCTGAATGAAGTGGGCTGTGCTGTATCTCCTTGCACAGGAAAGTACAAAGATATGGGTCACACCAGATGCCATCCTTTACAAGCATTCAGGTACAGCAAACCTTGCACCCTGAGGGCTCAGCTGCACTGCGGATACACAGCCTAGGTCACCCAAATCCTGCTGACTGGCGAGCTAGGGACACACATGGACTGACAAATATGAATGTAACAGCTACATGGGGTCAGATCTATCATCATCTTATCTCAACAGCTGTCATTACTGGATGCACAACATATCCCAGGTCAGTATAAAACAGTTTCTGGCAACCTGTGCTTTAAGGTGCCTGAGGAACCAGTAATTTTACCCAGATTATGGCTATCAAGCCCGACAAAGTCCCAGCCATTTCTGGGATGGCTGTATTTTGCACTTGAAGGCTGTGCAGAAGGGAGCAGCCCGCTGGCCAGTGTAAAGCACTTGGAGATCACGCGTGACCAAGTTTCATCTCCTCTGGAGCAACAGGGGACACAGCAAAGTCTATGGAAATCAAACACCCTGCCAGACAGGGTGTAAGCAAGTGGACCTTGGCTGGACACGAAAGAGCAGTTCAGAGAGCATTAAACACTTCAGCTAATTTCTACCACAAGCTATCCCTGTACCAGTTCTCACTAGCAATGGTCTATAAGTACTTTTGAGGTAGCATTTTCTTTTGCAGCAGCTTAATATGATCAGATTTCAGAAGTACCAAAAGGCCTTATTCAGACTGAAAATTTAAGCTTAAAGCATGCCAATATATGAATACAGAACAGAAATCTCCATCCAGGACTCTGAGCACTTGCTTTTGTCCCACTGCATCCCACTCAATGCATTTGGGATTACACAGCACCCTGGTCTCCAGCATAGGGGAGGCAGCTACAGCCAAAAGTTTTTTATTTTTTTTTCAACAAAAATTTTTCTCCCTTATTTATCAGAAGGCAAAAGCACAAGTTTGTTTCCCAGCCTGTTGCCATTCTGATCCATCACTGGATATAAATGGAAGCAGCAAGGTCACTCCAGGCTTTACTTTCAATCCAGTTTAAAAGTTATCCAAACAGAAAGGTTAAATAGTCCATGTTGTTGTCCCTCTAAGGCTGGGAGGACAGAGCTTCCCTTTGTCTTCACAACAGCTGCAGCAGAGCCCTTCAGCCACTCTCAACAGCCCATTTATGGTCCCAGCAAAGACACAAAGAGGAGACAGCTCTGCTCTTGCCGGCTTTCAAGGTGCATGTCCCATCCCACCACACTGCCTGTGAAACCCACAGTCTGCCAGTCAGTCATGGTGGGATTGCTGTGGTCCCTGCTCTCGAAAAGAGATTCCTGTCTCTGCTCCTGGTGTCACTGCCTCCACTATACTGAAGTGTGGCAGGATAATCAAAAATAGCACCTAAAAGTTCACCTTACGTCCCACTGCTAGCCCAGGACTCATTTTCTCAAGGGCTGGGAAGTGTGGGCACAAGGTACGGACAATACGGTGGAATGGTGAGACTCATCATAGAAAGGTTTGAGTTGGAAGGGGCCTTAAAGATCATCTCTTTCCAATCCTCCCTGCCATGGGCAGGGACACCTCCCACTAGAGGTACATGTTTGTATCTATATGTGTTCATATCCTATTTGCGTGAAGCAGGCAACAGGCACCAAAGCAGACAACTGAAACCCAGCCTCAGGAACGGCGTCTTCAGTTCATAGCAGGCTACAACTGGCAGGACTGTAGTGGTTTTCTGGAGGATTTTCTTTGGATCTGGAGAATAGGACCCTCAGCCACAAAACTGCCACCATGTGCCCCTTGGTAAGAGGGTATCCCTGTCACAGAGCCTGACCATTCTAGCAGGGCTGCCAGATCAGTGGTGGGGCTGGACATCCAAAAAGCACGCTGGATGTCAAACAACCTGCTGAAAATCATACCCTGTCTTCAGGGAAAGCCAGCCGGCTTCAGCATCCCCATAGGATCTCACAGACTCCTGCTTAAATTTATGAAGAGTTATTTTAAAATAGAGTTTCTAATAGTATTTCCAGTGCAGTGCATATTCTTTCAAATGAGACTTCAGCAGAGAACGCTGCTCAAATGGTGCAGAAAGAGAAGACAAAATCATGGCACTCAAACAAGCCTGGGAACAAGTGCCAGGCAAATTAATTGCAGGCATGTGGATATACAAACTTTGTCATATTTGCAGTTTACATTTCCATGCTGTGTCCTTACTACAAGAGAGAGCAACCAAGACAGGGCCATGGAATGAGCCGTGCACTTGCTGTTTTATCCAAGCAGAAATCAAGCAAGAAATTTCTCCGACGCTAGTTTGAATGGGGAGGAAGGAAACTGCATGCAAGTCAGGGCAGGAATCTGGAGAGGTATTTATAAAATAAAACATTTTTCAAGAAACTTGGCTTGAATATGATATAATATAAACATTACAAGAGCCTAGATTTTGCTATCAATTCTTTGCGTGCAGAGCTGGGCCACAGCTTTGAGAGAAAAATCCAGAGCTGTAAAATGGGGGTCTAACTCTTTGTACTAAGAACTGTGTTAAATAAGCTGAGCAAAGGCGAGAGACACATTTACATTCTCACTTCAGTCACTGGAATGGGAATAACTAAGATGCCAAAGTAGCAACTAAATCCATAAAGAAGTGTGCAATACATGTTTATGGGTTCGGTTGGCTGAAAAAAACACAGTTTGTTGGCTGAAAAAAAAGAGGAAATATCTAAAGAATTCCTCCTTCAACCCTCCCCAGAATTTTAGACATGCATTTTAATAACATTTAGAGATTAACTGCAAGAGTTTTCAGGCTACCAGGAAGGCACCTTTTAATCAGCCTTTTAGCTGCAACAGCTGCAAAGTACCTGCCCTTGTATTTAAACACAAGCGGTCGCTTTTAACAACCACCCATTAATGGACATATTCACTTTGGCAAGCAAAACTGCGCTTGGGCTGCACGCAGCCCGTTGCCAATCCAAACAGCAATGCCAGTCACATCTTCTAGAGACAGGAGGCCCCAAATTAATTTCTTCACACGTGGTCCTCTACTCCTCGCAGACACCCTTCAGGTGTCTCTTCATACACCCATAAAATACAAAAAGGCAACTCTAGCTGTGAGAAGCAGCAACGGAAGTTTATCACAAGCAGTATATTACAGAGTTAGGAAGGACAATACACCAGACCGCTCAGACTCACACCAGTCTTCCAACATCCAGCTACAGAGTTTACTTTTGCCTCACCAAAGGGGCTGTAAAAACATAACAAATGCTGAGCTTGCTTTGCCAAAATGACTTTGAAGGTGCCAATCACTAGTAAAAGCTGCCGGCGTGCACCCAGGAGTGCTGGGAGCACCAACCACACCAGCCCTGGAGAGGTTGTGAGCCACTGCATGGGGCAGGCACTCTGCATGCCCTTATATAGATGCACACAGAACACCAGACTTTTCCCAGGGCCAAAAGAATTATTAGTAAGATGACAGAGCTGGAAAACTCTTCTTGGCAGGGAAGCAAAAAGCAATTCTAAATGAGTCAACAGATTCCACCAACTTCCTAGAACACAAATTCGAGCCTATTGTGGGTTTGTGCAAGTAGTCGCCACGGCTGAGACCTGGGAACGTGCGGAGCAACAAGAGTGCAACTGAACCTACTGAATAAAATGCAGATGACACAGGACACACGCTGTTGTCATCTTCATAAGCATCTACACATGATCCTTTCTGGCAGCACATTTAACATGTGCTGGTACCAGATCCAACTTTCCTGACCTTTGGGCTTTTCAAAGGCCAAATACATAGCTTCACTTTTAGCGAAGTAACAGACTGTTTTGCAGACAAAAAGGAACATTAATACATTATATGGTGGCAGCAGAGCTGCAGAAAAGCAGCTTGAAATTTAAAGAAAAGGATGCTAGGAGCAGAACAAGAGACTACATGTTGGCAATCCCCTTTCACAAATATTCATCTCTTATTACCACCCCCAACCTGCCTCCGGACAGACTCACTGTCGGAACACTTACATTTTGTTGAAAAAAAACCCCATAAAAATATGCCTTTTTGTTGCTCAGGGCTGCCTATGTGCAGGGTTCCACCACTGATTTGGTGACTAAAGCGACAGTCAAAGAGCCATTTGTCCTAGAAATAATTTTCACCTGTGCTGCAACAAACACTCGTTTGCTTTTGCACATCTGCAGCTACAGCTGCACAGAGCTGTGTGTCAAATTCATCATGCGCATTACCACTGACATCAGTGATGCCTGAATCTTTCAGCTATCAGGTAAATTTTGTGGTAGGACAATTTTTTCCTCTTGAGCTTTCCCTTCTTTTGAGTTGACTGAAGCACACTGCTGGCTGTAGGTCAGTCTTTCTGCATGTACCATACAAAACCATGGTGAGGAGCTTGATTTTACACCACGGAAGAAAAAAACGGAAGCTTTACTTTGGTTTCTTGGGAATTATATGTCTAAAAGCACTCTCCAGCCCAAAACAAAAAGCAAAATGAATGAACAAACACAGGCTCAGAAAAGAGCTGGGAGCTGCTAGACACACTAAGTTCTGCAGGAATTCAGTGAATGCACCAACATTGTTGAACACCCACTTTCGAGGCAGAAAATAGAGCTTTCTAACTCTGTCCATATGTCAGACAGCAAAGCATCTGGCACTGCTGCTTCGAAAATCGTATTCAGAGGAAGCAATTTGTAGCTCAGTTTTAAATCCAAGGAAATTAACAGATTTGCACCTTTGGGTGAAAAAGCAGACTAGTCATGTTTTCCCCAGCTAGTAATTTGATCCATTTTTAATGGTGGCATGTGTTAGACCAGATTTCCTGCCCACAATCTGATCTGAAATATTTCTGGACTGTTACCATCATTAAGGAAAATACCAAAACAGGAAACATTGGAATGCTGTTGATATTCACAATCAAGTACACAGTGCAAACAGCATTTCCTTTACCAGAAGTGTTTAAGTCCTTTCAGTTCTCTACATTTACACTTCTCTTAAATAATCATGAGCAGAGCCAAACAAGAAGGCATCCTAACTGCTTGGCTACCATTAAAAGAGAAGAGGGTCGCATATTTGCAGAACATGTATGTATTTTTTGGTCCACAGAAGATTTCAAGAAGACGACAAGCCTCAGTACTTCCCTAAAACAGTCTCCCTGCCTCCAGCTACTTGTAGCTTAAGGACTTTCTGCAGCAGAGATACAGCCATGGTATATAAAATCCCTTAAAGATTTGTCATCCATTAATTCACTCAGTCTCCTCTTGAACCCACGAGCACTGTTAGCATTCACAGCACAGTAAAAAATGAAGTCTCCGCTGTCACGATGATGTTGACCCTTTGGTGGAACTGCAACACCTGACGCGAGCTCAGATCCACGTCTCAAATCCTTCCACAGCACCAGCTGTCTGTGGTGCTCCAGCCCATGGAACTGCTGCCCTGTCTGAGCAGTGGTTCTTGTCAGCACGGCTGCTTAGTACAACTGATTCAGCTAATGGGCTAAAACTGAAGAGCATGGAAACCAGACCCAAGAGTTAGTGGTACTGAAGCACAAATTATATACTTTCCTCTTCATACTCTGCCAACTACTTACAGACTTACTTTAACAGAGAAGAAACTTCCAGCTTTGACCTGATTATAACGCCAGCCTTCGTAACTAACTATTCAGCCAAGCCGTACAAGAGTTTGGCTCACCAAGGTTCAGGAAGCTCAGGCTAGGCCACTTTGGCACCGAGGTGGCACCCATTTTCCCAGGTGCCTTCCACCCTCTCCACCTCCATAGCAATGCTCTTCCCCTTTTCACAGAGCGGGGCTGACCACTGACACAGTCTGCTTTCCTCACCCATTTTCTCTACCATAAGCTGAACAGGAAGGTGAAGCACCAGCTCTGTTTTAAAATGCTTTCTCTGGCAGCCTTCTACACCTCCTCTCAAGATATTTCACTCTGAGGTCTTAGCCTTAGGCTGCAAAATAAAGACAGGTTCCAGGCCTAGCAACAAAGAATATACCGCATTTCAGATCACTGAGTGCAGCTGCGTTTGGGACAACACAGTTATGGGGTACCAGAAGAGAGCTGGGTGCTAGGGATAAAATATTCTCAACAGAGTACAACCAGGAAAGACCACATGATGCACACTATTGTCTTTCAGCATTAAAGAGCTCCCTCTAAAGAATCCTCCTGCACTACCATATTCCCCAATACAAACACATCTCCAAACAAGTAAGCAATTCTTCCCTAAGGAGAACTTTATTCCTGAAGAAGAAAGAGCACTAATGACTTAAAATCCCCAAGAATGATCTAAAATGGATTTTATGTAGAGCAATGAGTAGTAATATCAAATCCTAAAGTGATCAGTAGTCAGATCATTGCTTTCACGTCTTTGTGGTCTTGACACTCTCCCTGGCCAATGAGCTGTACTCATGGCTGAGCACAGCGGCAGAAGCATCCAACACACACTCATGCTACCTCATTGAAAGGGGGTCTTGAAAAAAGAGTTGGGCTGTGCTAACTCAGAGCCCCTGCACAGGGCTGCAGATCCAGTCGGAAATCTCTCCCTGGGCAGCTTCCACATCCAAGGCTCATGAAACACACATGGGTAAAGTTAATGACTTTGTAATTAACATTAGAAAACACATTTTACAGACTCAATGATTCGTAAGAGTGAGCTTGCCCGAAGGCTGAAAGAGCCCTTGCCCTCCCTGCTCTCTCCCAGCCTGAACCACAAGGCACTAGTAGTTTGCTCAGTCAAGCAGCCGGATATTTCAGAGGAAAAGGAGCACTCCTTTGCAGGAAGATTACAGGCTGCCAAATTAGAGGCCAGTATGAGAAACTCTGGGGCTAACAGGCTGCTGCAATGCTCACCATCCATTCACACTGCCCGCACTGTGCTCTGTTCTTCCCTCTGTGAATTCCCTCAATGAATTGTTGGGCTTTTTTTGGCCAAGACCCATAGCTTCTTCCTGAACTGGGAAATGCCTGCTAAACTCCTGGCATTGTCCAAGCTACAGTAAAAGACTTCTGTTTATCACAGAAAGGCCCCGAACAACTGAACCACTGTGTCATTTAAGACATGCTTTTGCACTCCTTCTGGAAGCACTTCCCCTGCATCTGCCATGAAGTTGATGGATGATCGCTCTCAGGGAAGGTGACCACAGGAAGAACTCACACCAGAGCAACAAGAAATGCCATGCTACGTCTACTATCTGACTTCAAGAAGTGCCAGTACCCACAGCTGCAATTCAATCCAAGAGGAAGGATGAATCCTCAGCAACCTTGAAAATACAGGCTCCAGCTCTTTAAGAAGCAATGGGTCAATGCAAAGCAGACCCGTGCCTTCCCAGTCCCCGTTTCTTCTACATACAAAGATGGGCCAAGAACAAAGCATGTCTGGGGAAAGGGATGAAGCTGTCCGTTGCTCTGCAGCGCAAGACTGTGGGAAAGCTGAAGTCAGCCTGTGCTCTATAGTGGTAAAAGAGACTGTGGCTCAGTTGTCATCTTTTTCTAGTTTTTCAGGACTTAGGAGAGATCGATGTCCGATAGGCACCTTGATGCACCCTGGAACATCACTATTTAGCACTGTTAGTGCTATTTGATCCAGAGGCTCCAAAACGTACATTTCAGAGTCTGTGCATGGCAGAAACTAGGCAATCAATAGCTTGGACAACAAACAACCATATATTTTTAACTGTTAAATTAGCGCAACAGGAAGAAAGGTCATCTCTGGTTGTACCTCCTCCACTATGAGTGAAGTTTTCATGAGACCTGCCTTTGACTTCTTGCTGTCAGGAGTCACAGAATAGGCTGACAGACTGTTACAAATTATCAGCCTATTTCTCACTGGGAAAATGGTTTTCATAATGTCAAAGTGCATCAAATGCAAGCAGCATTAGGATTAAAGGCTGAAATGCAGTTCCCTCTTTCTATCCAGCACCTGGCCAGACAAAGCACCAAGACGTCAAATTAAACAAATTCAACAGCAGAGATGTCTGCTGTCAACCCAAAACATAGCTACTGCCCACCCCACATCCCTCCCTCTCTCCATCCCTAGTCTCGCTCAGTGACATACCTGCTGACCGTCAGAGTTAGTTCATCTGTGCAACCCTTGATTTTGTTCTGTGCCTCAAGGTGCGTCATGTTATCTGTGTTCACTCCATCAATGGCTATGATCTGGTCTCCTGTACACAAGTTGGCTATTGCAGCTTTGCTACCTGGAATCACCTAAAAGAAAATAAAAAGAGTGACTGGATTTTCAAGGCAGAAACTTTCCATAGCAACATCTGAAAAAAACAGTTGAGCACTCAGGGTTTTTTTCATTGGTACCCGGAAGCAATGACATGAAAACTAACAAAATTAAATTCTCATCAGAAATCTATCTGGATCTCAGTCTCTTAGATACTCCTCAGTATTATTTAGGGTCAGGATTCTGTTTCGGCACCCATAGATAGACATTTGGCAAGCGGACAACAGGTAAATAACAAAAATTGTATTTTCCGTCAAGTCAATTTGCTTCATGCTAGAGAGTAAGAACACACAGAAACCAACTCTATTCTCTACTAGACAGAGAAATGCTCTCCAAAAGAGACAGTGCTGAGGACAGTTGGGAAACTCAAGCCTCTAAGAACAGAGGTGACAGTAAGGAGTACTACAGACATTGCAATAGAGTCAATGCCAATCACGAACACCTGCATCACAACCTCATTTGCTTCCTTCCTTGGAAGAAAGGTTTAGGATCAAGATTTTGGATTACTTCTTCAGTAGTAATAAACTGGTTTTTGCCCAGGAACAGACACTCACGGACTTCAGCAAGATCAATCCCAAGGCAATACTTGATCTGACAAGCAGACTGGAAAGGAGAAAGGCATCAGAAACTTCATTTTTAAACCACAATCTGATGATACTTTCTGAAAAAAGCAGAAGCATCATCCCCAGCTTGCCACAGCTCAGCTGGATGCATTCTGCCATATAACATCTCCCTTTCCTCTCCGTGCATGGTGCTTTGCTTCCCAGGTAGATCACTGCACTGCCAAAGAGGTGCTGTGCTCTGCCTGGGAATTAACTGATGGGAAGGAGCTCAGGGCAATCTCACTGAGATCCCAGACAGAAGACACCATGCAGCAATGCCATCACTATGATACTCCTCATGAAAAAAGAAGGTCCCAGCGAAAACTTGACATTTTCAAGCAAATCAACTAAACGGCTCACTCATTTTTCCCTACTTCTGCTTTTAACAACAGAGACATCTTTGGGCCAAAATGATTGCCCAGGCATAGGGTAAGCAGTGCCACATTTGTCTGCGTCTTTGTTAACACTACATAAGATTTTGTGTGGTTTTAGTGACTTGGCAGAAGAAGCACAATGATTACTGTGGGCTTTCATCAATTATTTAATAGACAGAGGAAATGAGAAGGGTGGACTCCTCCCAGACATGAGCACAGATTAAAACATGTCTCACAGCGAAGACATACCTCGTTTATGAGTCTACTGCAACTGGTATTCACTCTACACATTCATGCTAGGTTTCAGCATGCTGGAAAGCAGTTGAGCAAACCCAGCAGAGCTGTCAGAAATAAATAAACATTGTTCACAAGATTTAGGGATTCCTCCTAGTGGGGGACTGGATGACAAATCATCCCCTCTAGGGAAACATTCACCTCCTAAAGGTGTCATGCTTCCCTTGGGCCAAAACCAAGGCTATTCAGTACATGTCATCACAGCTGTAGTGGGATATTTTCCCTAACCAGAAGGAAGATCACAAGATGTTTTTTTCACCTCTAGACATTGATAGCATTTCATGGCAAAGGGAAGGACACAGATGTGTATTTCTATCACTGATGTCCAAGGTTGGCCAAGGTGTTCAACATTAACCCAAAGACCTTTGGATGGGTCAACTGAATAGTGCCTGTTTACCCGCTCACTGCTGCTCATTAAAAATGCTGCAAGTAGATTACAAAATGACAGAGGAAGTGCTAAGGAGAAGACCAGAAAAGCCACCAGATGGCTATAGAAAATCTGCTTTAAATGTGAAGATCTTTGCCTCCCAAGCCACAGCCCACAGCTGTCTTGTGGCCTACTAAGATCTCCAACTGCAGGCTGCTGCCACTCCACTAGATCCACCGCCTTAAGGGTACCCTCATGCAAGCCCTGTGACAGGGACAGCTAGCAGCCATGAAGAAATCTTGAGCACTGAAATTCACCCATATTCCCACCAAATTTTGGAGCTATCATTTTAGAAACTATGAGACAGACCCCTAAAGACATCATTACACCAGAGGGTGCTTGTGGGAGACACATTGTGGGTCCTCCCCTGGTTACTTGGCCTTGAAAGAGTCACTGGATTCCTGGTGCTTTTATTTCCTCCACTACCAATGAGTGAGAGGGGTACATTATTCACCTCTGAGGAACACTGAACTTGGCACACTATTTCTGTGATTAATTTTCAATTAGACAAGACTGCCAGGGGGTCAAGAATAATGGATTAACACCACCGCTGGAACACTGACGGAAGCTCAGCCCTACAGCTTCCACTTAAAGACTGATAACCTACACTACATGTGGCAGGCTGCTAGAAATGGTCCTGTACAACAATAAACAACTGAGATGGAGCAGCCAGGCATACAGAAATACTGAAACATCCTGAAAAAAATCCCAAGAACCACTGGGATGAGCAAGTGGTATTCATAGTAACATCTCAGTGCCTTGCCAGTGCTTGTGGTGTCATGTTGCCCTCCTATGTCCACTTCAGAGGAATTTGAGATGCAAGTTCTCTTCATCAGATAAGAGCCACTGGTAGCACAAGGACAACTACACCCACTCAGGTACCATACAATCCTCTCCCCTAAGGGGAAAATACAAGGATACACAGTAATCACAGAGATAAGTGAATTTGCCAAGAAGAATCATATTTTAAAATCCGTGTTCTTCAGTTCTGTAAATAACTTGCCCTGAAATGCAACCTTCCACAAACAGTTCCCCTGCAACATCCAGCTTGTACTCCCTGCCAGGACTGCTCATAGCAAACATGTCTGCACAATGGCACGGCACCACAGGGAACTCATCCCCCATCCTTTTAGGATGATTAATAGCTACTAATAATGTTCCCTCCCTCCCTCGCCGTGAGGTCTGGGCTTATCTCAGCGCTGTCAATGCTGCTTTTGAGATTTGCTCACCTACCAGTTAAGTCAGGAAAGCAAAAAGCATTTCTGTTATTAAGTGAGCAGCAGAGAGCTAGCACTGGGAAGACCTTTTCCTGCTTTTATTTTTGTCACATCCCTCCTTGGTCCCCAGGGAGCAGCAGGGGCAGGCATGTGGCTGAGGGGGCAGGCAGAAGCGCTCAGAATGCTGACAGCTACCAGCCGTCTTACACAACAAAACACAACCAAAAGAGCTCCAAAAAATGAACAAAAGCTTTCAGGCTCACAGGCATCCAGTAAACGTTGCATCATCTGAAACTGCTTTGCTCCTGCTCTCCTCTCAGATGACTTAAAATTTACACTAGGCTCTCTCCCCTCCCCTGTTGATGGAGTGTAGGGCAGACAGCAGCAGGATGCCTTGCACAGGCAGGTGACCTGAGAAGCAGATACAGATGGAAGGAGGGCTGAAAGACACCGAGAGAAACAAAACCTGCAAGCGTTACTTTGCACAGTTAGGCCTTGTACAAAGGCATAGCCTCTGGTCTCCTTCAAAAGAGCTCTCTGACTGGTTTGGGGCTGAGCAACCCCTGGCAGAGAGGACATGGGCAACATGACAGGGCCCGAGGAGTCCCCCAGCTCCAGAGACACCACTGTTGGGTGAATATAGCTCTGCACACCGTGTAACATAATGCCCAAGGGCTTCCTTTGGAAAGCAGCCATGCCCTATGTTGTGGTGATCGCTCCCAGGCAATCGTGCTAACACTTTGCCATTAGGTAATTTCACTGTTGAACGGACAACACTGAGACAGGCTGAGCAGCCTAAACTGCTTCATACTGTATCCAAAACAGTATGTCTATGGTGATGCTCTGCTTGGCTGGTGCCTCTGTGTTAAGAAATCTGTGTTTCTACAGAAATAATTTAGATATGTATAACCAGACACATCAAACTAGGTCCCTGATACCTGCTCAGACACATTATTTGCCAGCATATGGAAGAAACAAATAATCCCCATAATCTGTGGGTTTGATTGTGCACTCTCTACTCATGCAAAGCTCAGCACAGGAGGTAATAGTTTAGCCCTGTTATAGGCTTGGACTCCACTTTTTAAAGAGGTCTCACAGATTCAGGGTTGGCATGAACAGAAGAAGAACATACATTATTTTCTCATGCTACAAAGTGAAGCTTTGCGTATGTATGCACGTGCATGCGTGCGCGCACACACACACACACATATATACAAAGCTTTGCAATAATGAAGAAGGTGAAAAAACTATCTGCCCCCTCATCTTCCCTGCACACACACTTTGGGCTCCATTTTACCACCACCACTGAGACTTTGCAAAGATCAGATTTCTGTCTCGCCAGTGGTTTGCCTGCTATTGTCCCCTTGCACTGGCTGCCAGGCAGTGAACAAGGGACTTGGCTATGACATGTCAAGCCTTCAGCTAGTCTTTGGGCAAGTACATTTATAATAGTTAAGAAAATACTTCAATTTAGCAGAGGGAATGAGACATATTTGGCTGCTTATGCAGCTCCCAAGCCCTCTTTACAAAACTTATGTCTGTGCCAGAGCTAGCCAAACACAACATTTTACATTTGATGCAATTACTTAACAAGCTTTGCAGTCACTGGTATATACTCATGTATGGTGCCTTTCTTCTTTCTGCAGGTGAGGATCTGAGAGGCAGCAGTAGGTGTGTTAAGGGAAGCTGTTGCCCACAGCAAATGAGAGGGAGGAAGCATTTCTATGAAAAGCAGAATAAGGCAGCTCCGTGTGAGTCGAGATAGATGGGTGGGTCTAAAATTCATTCCTTCTGGCCTTCTCCCCCATCCATCCAGGCACACTACTTGATCACTCCAGCAGCCCTTCACTGTTTCTCACAGACCCTACAGCCTCTGGCACCACCCATCACTCCACACCTAGACACACATTGAAAGAAACGATGAAGAGATAAGAATGAGAAAATTAACATTAGCCAAGAAAAGTTCTGGATAAGCAGCACCTATCCGAGCTTGAGAAGAAAATCCAGCTGTGTCTTTGCTGGACAGAACAGACATGCAGCAACATACTTCTAAGGCCA